TATTCGGTGGTGACATTCTGGGTAGCCCTTTTGAAAAAAAAATCCGGCACTGACAAATGAGATTTCTATAGGGAATGGCAAGGCTTAGGCCCTAACAAAGTCAATAACAAAATGATAGTAAGATTTAATCAGAAACTAGTTATCTTTAGAGATTATTAGTCATTAACATCATAAAATTTACAAAATTATAATTTTATGTTATCCCAATTTTCCGTTACTACTGCAATTCCTTTTTTGGGAAAAAATAGCATTAAAAATTAATTTCCTTTTAATTTTGCATGTCAGCTTTTTCGTTATGCTCAAACCTGATTTACGATAATGGTTGACTAATGGTCTCTGCAGGCAAATTAAAACGGCGAATCTAATCGATTAATTTTTCTTCACGGTTGGATGTTTTCAAGAGAGATTAAAGTATATGAAAACAAACAAAAGCTATGGGAAAACAGAGATTTTCCAACTGCCAACAATCAAACGAAATTTAATTCAATTTACGGCAGTCAGTGGCAATTAAGCCTCTTGGTTTTCATCCGCTTAAAAATGAATTAAATCATAAAGCCTACAGAACCTCATAATTTTCGCATTATATTAAAAAACTTATTTTAATTAACTTACTCTAGCGTTGAAGTAAGCTACATAATTGTGTCAGGTCAAAGCTAATAGGGATATGTGCAGGGTGACATGCACAAAAAAAATTACTGATTTCTCTCTTAATTAAAAAAATAATCAAATTCTTTTTTGTATAATTTTATTGAACACTGTGTGCTCCTCAACTTATCAAGATTCGTTTAATGATAAAGTCAAAAACAAAATGAAACCGAATATCATCTTGTCACCTGCAGACTTTTTAAGTTTTATTGTTTCGCTTTGATAAAGTGACAAAATATATTTGAACCATTGAATTAGAACAATGTATTGTTATGCCCAGTTTTTAAGCAACATGATAACCAAGCAAATTAAATGCTTCTTCTTATTATTCTTTGTTAAGACCCTTTAGTCTATTTATTTCGTCTGGTCAATGTTGTTGATTCTATTGTGATATGGATGTCCAACTATCCTTCCATCTTTTCGGTGGTCTTCCGATTGGTGTTCTACCAGCTGCTGGATTTCCATTCGACACAATCTTGGCTATTCTTTCGGGGTGCAAATGCTATTTTTACCTGATTTATTCTAAATAGATCAGATATTTAAGTTTCAGACTTTGTTCCGAGAATATGTTTTCCGTCCCGTTTTTGCTCATTTCTCGGAAGCAAAACGAGGAAGAACGCTCATTTTTACTCAAAGAACTAAATGACCTTTTTAGAAAGTGAACCATCAATAAAGAAATGTTGACAGTTTTCTCAAAAAAGTCATGATTTCAATAACTTTGAGATTTCTGTGTTTTTTTTTACTTGCAAAATGGACTCAAACATTTTTTCGAGGTTTCTCAAGAACCAGTTGAGCCACAGAATTAATTTTGGCATCGTTGGATAGATTTGAAAATTCGATTCGGTTATAACATGAGCGAGCAAATTCGAGTAGTTTTGACCCAGAAAGCGAAATTTAAATATCAGACACTGAGGTGCCAGATTATGCCAAAATTTCATGTTTTCCGTCCCGTTTTTGCTCATTTCTCGGAAGCAAAATCATATTAATTCTAATAAAACATTGGCTGAGTACTCAGACATAGGAATATGGTCACCTCTGCGTTCTTGACTTGAGCGCTTTGCCTCTCTAGCGTTAAATTAATTCAAGCGAAGTTAACTATTCTGGGAGGCACAAACGATTTCGCTAGTGACACTCTTGCTGGTGAATATGCAACAATTTCTAGTTTTAATGGAACACATCTTGTTGATTTAGTAATTAAGTCCTCAATTCCCTTTCTTCGAACATGCATTTTAATTTCAACTCCAACAAACTAGCACAATTGCATACATACTCAATTAGACTTGAACTGTCTGCCAGGCTTGAAACGAAAATTCTAATGGTATTTTTTTAGTTAAAATGATAGTTTAATTCGGCATGCTGCGTTTCACAGTCAGAAATGTTCATTAAAGTTTTAAATAACAAAAGTTCACTTTTGCTCTTTTTTATTGGATCAGTTGGATATACAAGACAGACCGTAAGCACATGATCAAAAAGCAACTTTCCACACTTACTCTAGAAGTAATTTTGGGTCTCTCTAAAGTCAAAAGTGGGGATAAATTGTTATTTTTTGGACAAATAGATAAGATAGGGAGATGGTGGTGTGTTTAATTGTGGGATGGGCCACTTCCACTTTCTTTTCGCATGCTCTTTTCTTATAGTGTTCATCCATCCTGAAGGTGATACTTAAAATGCAAAATCCCTGTTATAATTAATCAATGCGCCGCATAAATGGTTTATTTGCTCCTCTAAAGTAATAATTTTCTATGCACATCAATTCAATATTTTGAATATGACTAGTTTTGAATCAGTGGTCACAAGCAAATATATCAATTAATGGAAAATGTAAATTGATTAAAAACTGACCCAAAATATATGAAGTCTAAACATGAATAACAACCTACATAGCCGATTCGCTTTGCTTTTAACAATTAATACAAATTAAACCCGATTTGTTTCCGCTAACCATTTTGGAAGCAATGTAAATGAACAGTGCTTTGATGCAAAAAAAACGTTCAATTATGTCAACTTTAAAATTATATATCCGTTATAGCAGGGAAAAGGATCCCAACTCTCTTGAGGGTTGGCGTTGTAACGTAAACAAGGGCTGTTGACCTAAGTAAGTAAGCATAGTTTGTTCAGCGAATTTGTTCCGTTGGCTATGAAGAGAACCAACCAAGTCAAATATTTGAATAAACAGATATTGATCATTGCGTGAGATTACATGGCTCGGCACACACAAACAATCACTTTTCGATAAAAAAAATATATTTTCGAATACTTAAACGCATTTAGAAGCCATGCTGCGCCCAATATGCGGAAACTCGACCATGAGCAACTGCATGTTCTTGCAATAAATGCAAATCTTGAATTAAGCAAAATAAGTGACGCATTTAGAGCAACTTTTTATTACAAAACATAAGTTGATTTAGAAGTATTTTCAAAAGAAGCAGCTTTAAGAGCTATTAAGTGCAAAACACGAAATACCTTTTACCTTACAGCTTGCAAAAGCGAATTAATGTTAGTGGAAATCTATAGGGAAAAATGAAACATTTTAGCGTTGCCACAAGTACTATGCAAAAAACCTAAGGTATAGAGCTCAATTAGTTACGTAAACAAATATAGATTTTTGAAAAAGAATATAAAAGCAATGTCTGTAGTTTGCGAACAACAAAATGACTGACAAAGCTTTACATAAAGCGACTGTGAATGAAGTAATTTTTCAAACGCAGCTGAAACTGTTGAACATCGGTTAGGTACATTTTCGCGAAACAGAGAGGTGAACTGTGTCTCCAATGCTCCCCGTGGAAATTATTTATTTTGCTTTTCCGTTGCAATAAACAGACAAATTTTATTAATGTGGTATAGGAAAAATCCCAATGTAATTGATTGTTTTCAATTTCCATTACAAGTTTGAGTATAAGACACTTGAGTGCATAGAGCCACTTCTAAGTGACAATAACATTAATTATTAAAATATCGAATTTGTATTATCTTTTATATTCATTGATTGAATTAGCTTCTGAAATGTTTATTTTTTTCAGGTAAGCAGCATTCCATGTCTCCTAATAATCATAATTTAGAACCCGTTACGATCATGTAAGTACTTATAAACACTGTATGGTATCACTATGAAAAACACATCACTTAAATATGCATAGCTACTGTAAAACAATTTTTCTTTGGCTTTTTAAAGACATTTAAAGTTCAATCGAAGGAAGGAAAGCTGAAGTATTACTAAAAGCCGTTAGAAATGTTTTAATAAAGAATATTTTTATGTCGCCACCGGTGGAAAGCGTGGTTTCTTAAGTCTTTTTTCCAATTTCCTGGCAATTCCAAAAAAACTATTATTATTATTAAAAACTATATTACATTAAAACTATCATATAAAAAATTATATTATTTAAATTAAATTTCAGACCTTGTGCAAACAAGGTCCACCTTCCGATAAATAAATTGAGAATTCGATCGAAAATTTCACAGCTCACTCCATAATATAATTTTTAGCACTTTTATTAAATAGTAATTTAATTTAATAATAAAAAAATACGAGATATGCGGATGACCTGTAAAGCTTATCCCAGATTGAATTATTTGGTGCTACTTTCCGTATACTACTTCAACTGCCGTCTGAATCAATTTTACGCGAAAGCGAAGCATTCCCAGTCCGTTAAAAGATAATCTTTTTACAAAATCATTCGTGTATTTTTTTCTCTGCGAAATATTAAAACAAGCGTACTGTCGACTATTTCGTCTTTTCACACAATTTATCAGATGTTTTAAATAATGAATATTTCGATATTTTAAAATTAATATTTTGCATATTTAGCGTGTTTAGCGTAATCAACTATGACATTTTCACAAAGTGATGATACGAAAACTTTTTGTATTATAATTGTTTATACATGCATTATAATTTACATATACTTACTTACCTATCAATTAGCAAGTTTCACTCAGTTGCCTTGCCTGACTTTCCAGTCAGTTCTCTGATTTAAAAAAATATTTCATCCGGCTGGAGTTTTTTCGACAATTCATTAGAAATGCGACATTGCTCCAAAAATTCTCCCAATCCAGAAATTATACGAGGCGACATTATCTGTTTCCTACATTCTTTCATGGTTGCCGACATATAGGAAAAATATTAAAGAAACTGGAGGACTGAATATAAATGTCGTAGTTTCTGAGCATTTACATATTTTGATTAAATTTTTCGCCCGAATGTGATTTTATGTTTGTCGTGTACCCTATCATCAATAGGCTTAAAAATGTGGGTTAAACGTGCATTGCCAAATAAAGAGGATAATCGGTTGGCCCAGTTAGTACTCGACTCAGACAAAGGGGCAGCTGCAGGAATTTAAAATAAAATAACTTCGAAATTTGTTATAACATGTTTATTTAAAGTTGTGATAGAAGTAAGCTACCAATGTATCTTTATAAACAGGAAGATAAGCTAATCCTCAGGAAAAAGTTGCTCACTTAAAACTAAACTACTTTAAAAACAAATAAACTCTTAGTGGATATTTGAAACTATTATTCTACGGCTAGCCTAAAATATATGAAGTCCTTTACGTTTCAAGTCATTATTCTTTAAAATAGGATAGTGACATAACTAAAAAAAGTAAACGGTTTAAATGGAATTAACTTTTCGTTTCTTACGCACAGCCTTCACCTTCATGCAATGCATGATATATGCAATCAGCTCCATAGGTAAATTCGATCATTCTCAAATTCACATAAATACATCATCTCTATATTAGTTTATGCTCAATCAAATAGGTAATATAGGTAAATATATGCTCTTTGGCCCAATGCGCGTTCAAGCACAAGTTTGTGTTGATTAGCAGTTTAATAATATCCAATTCTAATATATTGCTGAAATTTTTTTTTTTTTTGGCGCAATAGGTATAATATAAATAACAAAAAAAATTCACGATGGTGAACCCCCCCTCGGACTAGTGGGTGTATAAGTCGGAGAAGTGGGCGAATACTTCGTACTCTGAGGAGAATATTGGGGAGACGTCGGAGAATAATTTAGAGATGAAGGAGAATATTTTGAGCTTCCCGGTGTATGCTGAGGACTGCTGGGTGAATAGCTCGGGCTTGTCGGCGAATAACTTGGGGATGCTGGAGAATATTGAGGTGACGACGGCGAGTAACTCGGAGATGTGGGCGAGTAATTTGGAGACGCAGGCGAGTACGTGGGACTTGCTGGCGAATAGGAAGGAGACGTAGGTGAATATTGTGGAGAAGAAGGCGAATATCTCGGAGAAGTTGGCGAGAATGTGGATGGAGATGTTGGAGTATATCTTGGAGAAGACGGAACATAACTTGGGGACGTAGGTGAATAGCTAGGAGAAGTTGGGGAATAGTTCGGTGACGTTGGACTATAGGAAGAAGCTGGAGAATAGCCGCCTGGTGAAGCCGGACTGTATGCGGGAGAAGTTGGGGAATAACTTGGTGACGTTGGACTGTAGGATGGAGAAGTAGGCGAATAACTGGGACTAGTAGGAGAATAACCCGGACTCGTTGGAGAGTAAGTTGGACTAGTCGGAGAATAACTAGGACTAGTCGGCGAGTAACTCGGAGAAGTCGGACTATAAGACGGTGACGTTGGCGAGTAACTTGGAGACGTTGGACTGTAAGATGGAGAAGTAGGCGAATAACTTGGACTCGTTGGCGAATACCCAGGACTCGTTGGTGAATACCGTGGACTGGCTGGCGAATAAGCTGGAGATGTTGGGGAATAATGAGGACTAGTTGGTGAATACCCAGGACTGCTAGGTCCATATCCCCCAGGACTGGTAGGAGCATAGCCAGCGAAACCTGGTGACGTGGGGGAGTAAACAGGCGACGTAGGCGTCATAGACGGTGACGATGGATTGAAAGCTGGACTAGACGGGCAATAACCCGGAGATTGCCCAAACGTTGACATGGCCGGTGAGTGTGGAGTAGGTGACCACGACCCATACCCCGGAGACATGCCTGATGCATCTGAAGCAGCAGATGGTGAAAAAGCTGGTCCCCCGGGCGTCATTCCGCTGCCCATGAGATCTGAAAATAAGCAAAAAACGTGATAACATATATATCAATTTCGAAATGTAGCGTCCAACACTTAAAAAACAAAAAATAACACTCACTATGCGGAGACCATGCACTAGCATTTCCAATGAAAGGAGTTGCTCCTTGATTCCAGGGCGTCATAGCTCCCCCAGGACTCATACTTGGAGTAGCTGCTGCTCCAAAGAACATTCCTGCGGTAGCTTCACTTCCTTGTGCTTGAGGGATAGGCATGCCCATTTTACATTTATCAGCATCCAGTAGTAAATCAAAGCAACCAGTTCCCATTCGTGGTAATTGTCCCATAATAATGTTTTCAGATACGCCTCTCATAGGATCCACTTCGGCGTGAGCCGCAGCATCAATTAAAACATCCACAGTTTCTTCAAATGAACATCTCATAAGTGCCCCGGTATCTTGTCTGTTAATACCATGACGTGTGATAGCCATCAAGTGACCTTTCGCCGTCATTACATCACAAAGCAAAGCCAAATGACGATAGTTTACGTAAAGACCATAAAATTGAAGCACCGCATTCATTTCCTTTTCTACTGATTTTCGAACAGCTTCAATACCTAGAACCTGAAACAAGTGGCGTTAAGTAATTGTGACTTCAGAAAAATCCCAATTGTTGGTTACCGAAAATATTTCACAAATGTCGTTTGATGCCGTCCTAACTGCGTCTACATCTCGTTCGGAAAGTACGCGCATCATGCTTGTACCATCCGTTTCCAACAGCCACTCAGCTATGGCTTTGAATTCGCCCGTATCGGTGATAACAATTCGTTTTTTGGAGTCAGTTTGCGGCAAATGCATATACACTTTGCTGATTGCCTCGATACCTTGCAAAGTCATGTCACTCAGCATGTTGGCTTCAATACATCGAAGAAACATGTCGTCGTCCATTTTGTCGACATCTTCGTCTCCTTCTCCGAATTTCCCATCGTCTCCATTCATAATCCGAATTCGTAAAACCAATTTGTCTGCATTGTCATCATTAAATATGCAATTAAGATCGTCACCAAAACCAGCATTAATTTTCTCTGCTATTTGTTCCATGGTCAATTTCTTATCAACCATTCGCTTTCTATCCAGTTCAATACGCAACAACCAAGGCGATATCCTGGTAGGGTCAAAATCGGGCATTTCATAGTACACATTAACGAAGTCTTGATCTTCGGAAATCACAGTGTTTTGAGGATCAGGATCATAATAAATTGCGGTATTGGCTGTAACTTTTCGCAGTGTTGTGTGTTCAAGCCGGCATAAAACATTCTTTGCTTTTTCCGCATCTCTTGCCGCTGCTCCCGTTAAAAATACAGTAAGTGAAGGAGCTTTTGGCCGCTTGGAAACGTTAATAATTTCTTTCAAACGTGGTACACCCAGAGTTACGTTCTTTGATGATACACCAGCAAAATGGAAAGTGTTCAGTGTCATCTGAGTGGCTGGTTCGCCAAGAGACTGAGCGGCTAGAGCGCCAACCATCTCTCCGGGATTTGCCTGAGCTTGTTGAAAACGTGTTTCAATTTCTCCAAGTAACCACTCAAAGGCTTCAGTTGTAAGTCTATATTGTTCAGATACCAATTTCGAACAAAGCGTCGATCGAACCAAGCACTGGAATAGCAGGGTAGCATTCTCGTTGGCCTGAATGGAGATCCTGTCTTCTCCTACCACTATAATGCATCTTTTAAGCAGCTTCCTTACTCCTTGAATCACCTGAAGAGGCGATAAGTCAGTGGTAGATTTTTTATTAATATGGAAAATCTTCTGGACATTCCAAATCATTCGCTGTAAATTGCACGGTAATACAACACTAGAATCACCACTAGGAAATATTTGCCGTAAAGCTTCTCTGTCCTTTTGAAGCTGTTCCCATTCTTTTTCTAGTTCAGCAATAACTTCTCCGGAACTCATAATATCTTTAAGGGTGTCCTCGTTAAAAACTTTTCTAAGGTACCTTTCATTTGATGGATCAAATTTGTATCGTTTTTCGAAAGATTCTGTACTAAGTTTGATAGTAGGAAGAGATTGAAATTCTACCATTTCCCCACAAAGCCCATCTTCACCGTATCGCAACTGAATCAACTGTCCTACAGAATTACGTACTGTTCCATCGTAGTTTACCATTACAGACTCCATAGCCTTTATCAGACGACGTTGAATATAACCTGTCTCGGCGGTCTTTACAGCTGTATCAATCAAACCTTCACGACCTCCCATGGCGTGAAAATAGAACTCGGAAGGAGTTAATCCGGCAAGATATGAATTCTCTACGAACCCTTTCGATTCAGGTCCATAATCGTCTTTAATGAAATGCGGCAGACTTCTCTTCCTGAAGCCAAATGGAATACGTTTTCCTTCTACGTTCTGCTGTCCTACACAAGCAATAACCTGTGATATATTAATATTAGATCCCTTGGAACCCGAAACGACCATAGCCTTTAGATTGTTGTATTCTGTAAGTGATTTTTTGGCAGATCCACCAGTTTTATCACGAGCATCATTTAGAATTCTGTTTACTTGGTTCTCGAAGGTCTGACGAAGTGTATTACCAGGGGTGGGTTCCAGTTCCATATTGTGAGCTTTCTGAATTACCTCTATTACGTCTTCTTTGGCTTTCTTAATTGCCTTTTGAATTTCCAAATATGTCATTGGATCAGCAATTGTATCACCGATACCAATACTGTGACCCTCCAGTAACAGCCAGTTGTTAATTACGGTTTGGATGTTTCCATAGAATCTTCCACAAACTTCGTGTCCCAATTCAAGGAAGCAAATGTGTAGCAGAGATCCGGCTGAAGCTCCTAGTGACTTCTTGCAAAGGATTCCCATTATAAGTTCGCCATTTTCAACCATAACTTTTGTGTCTCCTGGAGAAATCCATTTGAATGGGCCATCATCCTCATCATCTGGATGAGTGGAATGTGTTCGAATCATGTTAACATTTCCGGGAATAATCAGGGAGAACAATTGCTTTCCTGTCCATAAGGGTTTCGGTTTTAATATAGCAGGTCGTGGGACTCTTCCATCCCAAATGGGAAGAAACATGAGTAGATTCATCATTTGTTCTTTCTCGATGAAAACATCCCGCTTAGTCATTTTTCTAACTGCACATAACGTATCTTGGACGATACCCATGACGGGTTTATTACACTGAGGAGTAATGATCTGTCGTGGAGTAATATGCAGATTTTCCAGTTCTGCTCGGGTTTCCATACTTTGAGCTACATGGAGATTCATTTCGTCGCCGTCGAAATCGGCATTATAAGGTGACGTGCAAGACAAATTCATTCGGAAAGTAGACCAGGGTAGTACCTTAACCCTATGAGCCATCATACTCATCTTATGTAGAGTTGGCTGACGATTGAAAATAACCAAGTCTCCATCGCGAATATGTCTTTCGACTCTAGAAGGAAAGTTAGTTATGAGATTTTTAATATATTAATGAGACCGGAACTTACTTATAACCACATTGCAGATGGAGATCAGAAGATTTTGGATGGTATCTTAAATCTATCCGTTCACCGTTATCACGAATAATGTATTTAGCTCCCGGATATTGAGAATGACCCCTTTGTACTAGCTCCAACATTCTATAAATTAAAAAGATGCACCAAAAAAACTTAAATAAAATATAAACTCATCATACTTCTCAAAGTTAAATGGAGTAACAATTTCAGGAAATGTCATATTTTGTGCGATACTTCTTGGTACTCCTACTTGATCAATACGTAGATTTGGATCTGGCGTGATCACAGTACGTGCAGAAAAGTCTACACGTTTTCCCATAAGGTTTCCTCGAATTCTTCCTTCTTTACCCTTTAGTCGAGCTTTGATTGACTTCAGTGGTTTTCCTGATTTTTGCATAGCCCTTCAGATAAAATTGTCAGTTTTTTTATTGCTTTAGAATCTCAATGAAGTTCTCACCTAGGTAAACCGGGCATGTCATTATCAACCAAAGTTGCTACGTGAAATTGCAACATTTTAACGTTCTCCACTAAAATATGAGTAGCGGCTCCAGATGTCTCATTCTTCTCTAATTCTGCATTTATTTTAATAATATCGGCCAGCTTATGGGTCAAATCGTCTTGATTTCTGGCCGAACCATTCATTACGACTGCCGGTCTTACCGGAAGTGGAGGAACCGGCAAAACTGTGGCAATCATCCAATCGGGTCGAGCGTATTTTGGGTCCATTCCAAGAACGAAACATTCTTCGTCTATGCAAACATGAACAATGTATTTGAAGTTGAAAAACAAATCGTTTCAATTATCCTAAATGGACGTTTCTATTTTTGGCAGCCAGTTCTCCCAATTGGTAAAACTAAGCACAGGTTTGAAGAGGAGGCTCAGGCAAAAAGTGTTGCCTAGCCATTTATGAATTTCACAAATAACAATACGACACAGTCAGTCCGCGGCATATTTATTAGCAAGCCGGTTTACCGTACTATTGAACATGATTTAACTGCCAACATGCTCAACTTTAAAAATGTTGCTGCACAATGTGCTGCAAAATGTTATTGTTTATTAAATGATGTGACTTTCTGTTAATTGAACAGAACATTAACTAGACTAACATTAATACTAGACGAAAATCTGGAAAAAAACAATTTGCTGTGTCATTCTCAAATATCTACAGTGATATCTGTTCCTAACTTTATTATTAATTTCATACCTTAAACCAAAAATATCAATACCAAATGGAACCATTATGAAAAAATGGAGATTTAAAAGTAATGTTAAAACTTATGCACGATTCGTTACTCCGCTTAACATTTTTGAGAGGAAGAAAAACGTGGAAAAAACTTTTGCAATTGATCACTTTCAGATTTATTTGTCGCAGCGTATCACCCTTCATCGGAAACTTGCAATGTGGTGTTTTTATCAATACTCTCCTTAACCGAAAACGTTATCGAATCCTGAGCTTATTAAAGAAGACATTGTCAGTTGGAAAGTATTTCTAAAATGCGATTTTGAACTTTAAGACTGCAAGTTCAAAGCACTCCCGAGTAAAAACACATTAAACAGTAATGTATTGAAAGTTATTTTTAAATATTTATATTTTGCATGAATAATTGCGAATATCGATTTAGTGTAGTACATTGAAGACAATTAGTGCACACTTAATAATCAAAATTAAAATGACGTCGAGTTAATCAAATAATACTGTCGAAACAACAAACAAATAAATATTTCTTTAATTATCGAAACTTCAAATTATATATGCCGACTGCGGGTATATTGCATATAGGCCACAGGCCGCTGAATAGAAAATTTGATTAATGAATCGTATCATAACAGTTCCGATACACGAAAGGGGCAAGTTTGCTCCGATAGGCAAATGAAATTGTAAAATTTTCATTCCACGATATTGGAATATGACAGATTCAGCTGCCGCTAATATCTATGCAGTTAGATAAAAGATTAATAGTATAATACCACTGCAAATACAATTAATTGCATGTCGGTTGAAACTGAATTGACACAAAAGTTGCATTTACCGGTTTAAGTTGAAAATATCCGTAGTTCCACAGATAAAACCAAAGTTGTGTGGCAAATTGTCATGTCATATATGATGATGAAAATAATTAATTATAATTAATATTTTCTTTGCATTGACAACCGTCTGCTGAAGCGTTATGATATATATGTCACAAAATCCACTGCGCGTTCATAGTTGATATATAAATATTGTCCAAATAAATTTATATTAAATAAATATATCCCATTAAAAAACCGTGATGCACTTACCTTTGGGTATGGGAATATATAACTTCATTTTCATGTTATCATAGGCAAATTTACCAATATAATAAAATACAATATTCTTTATTGATATATTCTCAAAGGAAATGTTAATCGACTTACCAGTTATGTGCTTGAAAATTTCCCAAACTCTCTCAGCTGTCAATGGGATCTTCTTTTCTTGAGAGTCCTCATTTACGTGCTTCCATTCGGCAGTTAAATCCAAACCACTTCGGCGAATGTTCGGTTGGTAGCGTCCACAACCACCGTGGCTTTGTTTCTTGTTGGGATCAGGCTGATCGCCATCCTTTTTTATGTCCATTTCGTCTCCGCCTTCACAAATGTTTTTACCTTTGCACAGGTCGTAGACACACGCTAATCGTCGTCTAGGTTGCCCTTTGGATTTCATGACAATTTCACGAATTTTAGGATTTGTCTGAAACAATACAAATGTTCTTTAGAATTGTGTCTAAGTTAGACAATAAATATTGTTAAATATTCAAAATAAATCTTCGCATTTTCTAGTTTTGGCGATAATATTGATATGCTTACCGGGCTCACGAGCAATTTACTGCAGTAGAAACACACACATCGTAGTATCTTGATGATTTTTGTGATGTAGCCAATATGAAAAACCGGCTTTGCAAGTTCTATATGACCAAAATGTCCTGGACAGTCAGTCATGTTGCCTGCACAAGTTTGACATCTGGATTGGCGATCTATAACACCTTGCCGAGGATCCATCAAGCCCCCTAATTTGGGACGTCCTGCCTCCATAGTTTCTGGATAGCGGATCCCCCCTTCCGTTACAGACATTCTTCTCTGTAAATAAAAAAAAATGTTTTATAGCTTTTTTATATCAATTGACAGCATAGTAAATTAGCAATCAACGTTCTGGTTTTATTGGATATTTTTAATGTTTTTGATATAAAAGCTCGAAGCAAAGTTTTCCGGTATTTAAAAAGATTTGCTAAATTATGAAATTTCAATTAAGTATAAGTAGCTTTGGAAAATTGCAACTAACCAAATTTTATTGAAAACACTGAATCCAAATAGGCACAACAATTGTTTTCTAATGCTTCTTTGATGTAAGAAAAGTTATTTTCACTTAGCTTTGTGGTTGCCATAGCAGAACTACAAATTTCTCAAATGTTTGAAAATTCGATGGTCAACTTGCAAGTATTTTTTCTCATTGTGTTGTTTAAATTGCTCCGCCTCTTTTCCATTTTTCTTTGTTTACATTCTCGTTTTCAAAAACGATGCCAAATAAACCTTTACGCTTTGAAACCCGCGCAAAAACAACCCGTTGAAGTTAATGCAGTTATTTTGAAAAATAGGGTGAACATGTTGAAACTCTTTCGTATCATCGTATAAACGGATGCATAAGAAACGGGCTTAAATCCGTCCGAATTTTTAGTTTTGTCTTGATTGACCTTAAGCAGTTTCAGCGAAAAAATTTCTGGATGGTTCATAAATTAAGCCGATAAACACTCACAAAGTTTGAGGAAAATTACCATTTTCATGCTAAATTTCGAGGGGTGTTACTAACCCAAATTGGGCAAAACATTATATTTATGAATCCGGTTTAAACGTGGATGAATGAATATCTCCTATGGGCAAAACTGTTAATAAATGGGTGAAATACGTGTCAACGTCTCATTTTGTTGAATTTCCGAAAGAAATAAATATTCCGCTATCTGACTATCGACGAGCTATCCTCAAAACGCGCGAAAACTGCTTAATTTAAGTGTTCGTTAATGTAAAACAAGAAAAAACTAAAAATTTGCAGGGACTCAACCGACACGTGCACCTAATATCATAGGCATAATCACATTTCAGCACTTTTGAATTGGTAATCGAAATCCAAAGAGCCTTTAATGTAATGTAAGTCGGTAATTACTAAATGTATATGAATGTTGCAGTATTTGAAAAAAAAAATATGCGACAGTTAAAAACCAAATTACATAGTTGTACTTTCGGAAACTTAATAATTGTTTATCACACGGGAAATGTCGGTCGATATTTCAGTTTAATTTATAAAAAATGTTTAAGGATGCAAAATTCCTTGGTTATTTAAATATAAATAAACAATCTGATAAACATTGCCATCAGCATTTAAGCCCAATACAAGCAATTTAGAACCAGACTTGATTTCAGAAAAGGACAGCCAGATCGTTTCTGTAAAACTAAAGTGAAATAGAAATTGTTTTGGTCAGAAGTTAGGTTAGCGTTTACGAGTCCCCATATAAATTTGTGCTGTTTGCAAACATTTAAAAGTATCTAATAAAATATATAATATATAATATCAAATAAAAAATAAACAAAAACGTGATAAACAATGCCTTCAGCCTTAATGCCCAAGCTTTAAAGGTAGCCTTTATTTCAAACAAGGACAGAGATATGTTTCTGCAACACACTAAAGTGAAAAAGAAAATGTTTTGGTCAGAAGTTAGGTTAGAGATTACGATGGTGCCCCATAGCCCTACATATATTTGGGCTGTTTGCAAACATTTAACGATGTTTGTGAATTTTTCAAGCACATAACGCAATCAATAAAACAAAACGACCAAGAATTGCAGAACATTAATATAAGTTGGGCAACGCAACAGAAGGGAAATATATGCTTTATTGGTCATATAGAACTTACGATTTCATCTGGGCTCAGGATACCGAACTGCACCCTTTTTACAGTCCTCAAGGGAGCTTTTGAGTCTCCCGTGAAAGCCATAGTTGCAGTTTGATTGTTAAAAAACCACTATAAACCGATAAATTTGTAAGAAACTTCGCGATATCGAAAATACAAATGGCTGCCGAATTCGACTGAACAGCTTTCCTCGAAACGAAAGCTTCGCAGCGACTGCAGCGCTCAGACGAGCTCTTGTCGAACAAACCGAGTCGAAGCGTTGATTGGCTATTGCCATCCAGGGAGTCACTCAGGCACATGGCAAAGCTTTGGTTTAAGCTTTATGACATCAGTGTCTATCAGAGTCTCCGACAAATAATTTTTTAAATTAATAAAATTTGGGAGCGAGCAGCTCTAACTAGCAATGCTGTGACAGTATTACTATACTATTTTACTATACGTATATTTTCTGATAGGTATTGTTAGATAGGCGTGGCTTACCAATTTAATAATTATTAAATTTCGATTTTTATTTAATAATAGTAACATTAATTTGGCCTTACTTTTACAACTTGAAATCATTTAAATGCGATGTTGTTGACAGGCTTCGTAAAATATGGATTGGTGTTTTATAGAGAAAATTGAAATATCCACATTTAATTTCATTAAGCAATTCTAATGATAGATGTTTCATTTATATGTTTATCGAGTTTGTCTTTCATTAATTTGAAAATATTATTTCTGTTGAAACATCTATTATCAGCACGGGTTTAGAGAAGTTTTAAAAACTTTTTCGATTTTTCATTGTTTGTTTACATCATTTTCTCGATAAAACAACAAATCACTTTTTACGCAATAGGTCGACAAAATCGCATTTAAGTTGAAAAAGTTACATTAAATTTTGCAGAATTGAGATAATGAATTGTTTCGTAGTTGTAAACCTGCAGTAAAATGATAAAGGAAAAAAAGAAGAAAACGTGGAACTACAACAACATGGCGAGTCTTTCCTAGGCATTTTCGGAACCCGAAACTAACACACAAACAAATGGAAATTGTATCGGTAAATTGAAGTGATCAATTGGAAAATTACATGGTAAATATCAACACTACGTACTTCCGTTAATTGCAACAACTTTGATCTCAGATAGCATGAAATAACTCAATAATATCATATTTCCGTCTCGCTCGGTGGACAAGAAATAGAACAAGAACGATAATTATTGCGTCACTGCCAAAAAACTTGAGACAGACTACACGCGTCTTCAGATGTGTACACGGCTTAATATGTGTGTTTTTAAAGTTTGCTAGAACTTCATATAAAAACGAAAAAATAGTGACCAAACGAGCGGACTGGAGCGGACCAAAAATGAGTTCAACCTGAATCAGCTTTTTTTGCAATAATGAAATTCACCGACCATATCAAACCGACCCGATTTATTACAAGCAATGTTTCCTGCAATATTGCTAAGGATAAAGAATGTAAAGAAAATCTCGTAAAATACAGGTTCGCTCTAGCTGCAAATCTACCGAGAATTGATCGTCAAACTTCCAATGCTTGGCGTCAGGTTTAAATCTTTATAGGAGGGCCGCATCTGGAACTTGGGAAGCGTGCTAAGGGGTCATATTTAAATTCCAGCTTGGCAGCGATCTTTGCCGGTCAGTTTCCATCATGCTCCCGAAAATATGCTTTAAAAAATACCAGACACGCAAAGAATTCAATATTCAACTCGTGCCTATTCAAATGGAACATTCAATCCTGAAGAACCTCATAAATGGAACCTCACGAAATAATTGGAGATTATTTATAACTCATTTTTATTAGACTGCAGTTCAGTTATAATTTTCCTTTTCGCCGTTTTACACTTTAGAAGTTTTTGCGGCGTATCGTATTGTAGGTAATAATTAATGCAAATAATTTCACTCCAAAGTATAATTTTATTTTTCAGTTTCAAAACATAATTTCATTTGATTAATTCATTCATTCAACGCTAACTTGTTGAACGACTTTCTTATTGAGCACAAAAACAAATATGTTAACATCTGGGGTTTTTTAAATTATTATTTGACAGAATCATAACATCTCCGGTGGCTTGGAACGAGTTTTCAAAAGCGGAACTGTTTTCTAACAAATATTGCGAATTATCGTTAAATACCTCTGTTATCAGCAGATCAGGCTGATTAATTATTTAACAGATTAATTTCTATTATAAACCGAACAATAATACTATTAGAGCAATAGAGCATTGCATTAACAAAATATTTTATATCAGGGATTTTTGGTACGTTCTTGTGACTACTTTAGTCTTTAGTCATGTTTATCGAATTGAAACATGTCGAAACATTGACTTAGATTTTCTAGTTGACATCCTTTTCTTTTTGCCTCTTCAACTCTATTGAATTTAATAGATCTCTGTATCTTCTACAGCGAGAAAAGTATCTGAATTTCCATAAACAATCGGCCCTACCGGATTTAATGGAGGATTTGTGACACGCTGCTATGCCTTTTATTTCACTGAAATAGCATGAGCGATGTGGTTACAAATGTAATAAAAAAAATTTTCGGTCGCGGTCATCGAACAATAACAGAAAATTGTATGCAAAACGCAAAGCGCACATGCCTATAATTAAAAACGCAATTGATTCGATTTTTCATATTCTCATAGGCTCACAATAAGTTTAAAATATTTTGCACATTTGAACTTGTGATGTTGGAATATTCAATAATCACGTTTCACAGTTGCTGCACCAGTGGCAGTTTTATTTCGGTTAAATGCATATTTTTAAAAGGGGTAAAACCATTCAATTTCCTCATTTTTTTGGACTCGACTACAGCCAGAGTAGCATAGTTTTTGTTTTTAAATTGATCCAACATGGTTAGTACAGCAGCCGGTTGAAGTCATGTCAATAAATTCCCACATTATGAAACCCAGGTATCTTTAAAATTATAAATACCTCATTAGCCTAAAGTTAAGTGAAAATGATTACTTGAAATTTGTATTGCCTCTTCCAACCGTATTGTGTGCTTTACCTGCTCATGAAAACTCGAAAGGAAAGAACGGGGAACAATATTCGACAAACAGAGGGGTTAAGGAGGTTAATGGCTTAATCCAGATTCTCATGCTAATGGCTGAGATCATTTATGATGATAATTAAAACTCCCTTCTGTTACTAAGTGTGTCAGTTTTCTCTAAAATATCTGAAACGCTTTAGACTAATTACGTTTCGGATTCTCAAGTAGATGGATTTGTTTATGTAAATGGGGCAATCAAAAGTTTCAAGACTTCGAAGTAAAATAACACTATTATACAGTTGAGTCCGGATATAACGAACTTGAAAAATGAACTAAAACTGATTCGTTAAAAAACTCGTGGTGTATTTTATTTCGTTATTTTTACATGGAGTAGTAGAAGTTAGTAGGTATGACTAAAAAGAACACAAAAAGATCAACAAAATTCAATTTGAAATCTACTTCATAAAGTCTGTAATTTTTGTTTGTACATTTCTGCTGCAAAAATAGATGTTATTTATGTAGTTTTCAAGATCACAAAAGGACTCCCAGATATTATTAGGAACTTGGCGTGATTGTAGAAAATTCCGAGTTTCTGACACTTTTTTTGCCCTTTCAGAAATGGTTGGAACAGCATTAGTGTCTACAGTAGAATACGTTTCACCTAAATCGTCATCTTTCTCATTATCGCTTAAAGCTGTAGATGAGGTTACGAAGTCTATAATTTGCTTATCGGTCAACATTTCTCTTGTAAGAATGCCATTATCAATGCTCACATATTCGAAGAAATTGAAATCACTCAATTTGGTTTTAAGTTGTTCTTCGACAACATTGGGACATCTTCGTCTGTGTCATACTCGTAGTCAGAGTCTTTATACTTTTCTAACCATTCGTTAAGTGAAATTTCATTGTCTGGTTCATAATCATTTTCTGTCCTTACAAATCCCCCGTGCTTAAAGCAATTTGCAATGTTTTTCGGCTAACTTTTTGCCAAGCTCTATGAATGAAATTGACTGCATCTAAGAGATTTATAGAAAATTTTTCATTTTTATCGATCGCCTCTAACGTTTT